GTTTCATGCCCGTTGCTGGTTGGCTAACTCGCAACGGGGTCTTACCAGCCAATGGAATTGTGTGATTACGAGCCAGGGGAATCCCATAAAAGAGGGCTCCCCTGGCCCAGATGGCAGTCCGGATTTACTTTATGCCTTGCCAATAAACCGAGAGCTGACTGTCACTCGACTCGTATCTTACTGCCTGCACGATCTAACACCTGAAACACTTTTCACACAATGTGCAGGCATATGGCTTCTCCCGGGTATGGACATATCGGTGTTGGCGCAGGTCAAACCTCTGCTTGAAGGACCGTCCGCAATCTGGGCACGTGAGATCGGAGACCACAGTGGCACTGAAAGGAGGATTCCACGTGGTGACCGGGAGAGGGGCTTCGTGGACTTTTACTTCCAGAAATGCCAGCTGATGCTCTTTCTCCTGGACAATCTTTTCACACAACTGGGTTTCCTTGTTCAGCATGGGTGGCTCATTCAGAACCTCAGATTTCTTCTTCTGTTTGGGGTGCTCCCCTACTGATGCAGTTGGCTTCTTTAGCTGTGATGGCCTAGCACCTTGAGGAGCCAGAGTCTTCTTTTGTTTGCCAGCCTTGGCAGTCAAAATTTGGCTTCCTGATTCCTGTTTTCTGGATGTTTTCTGCAGCAATGATGGTTGAGGCCTACCTTTTGTGGAAGCCAACTTTTCTGTTGTGAGTGACTGATGCTTCTTTCTTTTGGAAGATTTCTGCTTTGGGGAAATCAATGGCTTTTTTAGGGGGAGGGTACTAGTTGGGGGCACTGATGTGGCAGCCTCTTTGATAGAGTTAGAAGATGGCTCTTTGACAGGTGTTTCCCCCAGACCCACACTGTCCTGAGGTACTTCCATTGCGATGGCTTGTACTTTAACTGTCTTTGTGGCTCTCTTTAAAAAAGAACGTTTTTCCGCCCCTTGGATAACAGTTGGTGACAGTTGGTTTCCTGCAACGGAAAGAAGTAAAAGCAGTCGCTTCTGAAGGAAACTGAAGAGTTTATCTCCTCCCCCCCCCAGCCCCATTATTTAACTGGGAAATAGGCTTAAGGAAGGAAAGCTCTCTCTTGATTCCCAAACTGGATATTGCTATGGTAGGCTTTGCTCTGATTCAGAGAAAAATAACATAGGGCATACTTTTCCTCTTCTTTCTTTGGGAGGTGTTCTCTGAAAGCTGATGGCATTGGGTTGGCTAGATGGAGAAGGGGAAGAAAAATGGCTTTTTTAAAAGGTTAAAGATGTGTTAGATCCTGAGGAAGTCTACCATGTCTACTCTGTCTCTTCAGGAATGAGAAAGTAGAAAATGGTGCAGGTTTTGTTGTTAAATTTTGGGAGTGTAATCTGGATATGTTCTTGGGGTTGCAAATTGGGTCTGGGGGCTCCACCCAGTGGGTTGCTTACCCCTAAGTACATAGATAGCTTCCTAAGTAACAGTAGGTCAAAATCACTCAGATGGCATCCTTGACTGTGCTATTGAAGTCTCACCCCTTTTACATGTTTTGATCATAGAGTTGTGCCTGACATCTTGACTTTTTTGACCCTCTCCTGCAGACATCCCTGGAGAATTTGCACACACATAGCCCCCCCCCAATTAATTTAAATCATAATTCCTGCTGCTAATAGCAGAAGAAACCAGACTTATTAAGTATGGATGTCTATATGTAGATGTGTGTATTATAAAAATTAGGCTATAAAGAACTAGGCAACAGGTTAGGTGGATCATAACTAAACTCCCCGTTCAGTCTTCTCCCTTACCTATGAATCGATCTTTTGGAGAATTTATGGTATTATTCTGAAAATACAGTTCTCCCCCTTGCTGTATCCGGGTGATTATCTCGGGTTTCTCCAGTGGAATTCCTGCCCAAGAGAAAGAAGCAGAGCATAACCAAAGATTTATGGCTTCCCAATTTCTCAGTGAAAAATCCTGAAAGTCAGGTCAAACACAAAGAGGCACCACATTGGTTTAAGCATTAAGAGCAGGCTGGGGAAGGGAGAGTTGATCTAGATCAGAACCAGAGCAAGAGATAAATAAGGAGGCACCAATGTCAGCCCTATTCTCTTTCCCTTGAATGTCCCTGATTAACCTGTACAGGAATCCTCGACTTACAACAGTGCACTCAAAGTTACAACAGTACTGAAAAATGTGACTTATGACCGTTTTTCACAGTTACGACCTTTGCAGCATCCCCATGGTCACGTGATCAAAATTCAGATGCTTGGCAACTGGTTCGTATTTATGGCCATTCCTGTGTCCCAAGGTCATGTGACCACCTTTGCAACCTTCTGACAGGCAAAGCCAATGGGGAAGCCGGATTGACTTAACAACTGGATTACTAACTTATTAACTGCAGTGATTCCCTTAACAGCTGTGTCAAGAAAGATCATAAAGTGGGGGCAAAACTCACTTAACAAATGTCTCAACAATAGAAATTTTGGGTTCAATTGTGGTCGTAAGTTGAGGATTACCTGTACAACCCACAGAGACAGCATAGTTGTGAAGATTGTGAAATAGGGGCAGGCAGACACAGTTCAAGCCCAGCTTCAGCCCCAGAAGCTCACTGGATGACTTTGGGCCAGTCACCCTCTAACTTCCGGGGTTGCTTTGGGGAGAAATAGCAGGAGGGATTGCTACATATAGGTAATCCTCAACTTACAACTATTTGTTTAGTGACTTTGAAATTACATTGGTATTGAAAAAAGTGATTTATGACCAGTTCTCACAATTACGACTGCCGCAGCATCCCCAAGGTCATGTGATCAAAAATTTGGGCACTTGCCATGTATTTATGACAGTTGCAACATTCTGGGATTGCATGATCCTGACCATTTGCAACCTTCCCAGCCACTTCCAACAGGTAAAGTCAATGTGGGAAGTCAGATTCATCATAATGACATCATGATTCATTTAACTGCGGTTATTTGCTTAACAACTGTGAGAAAACAGGTTGTAAAACTGGGCACGGCTCACTTAACAACTGCCTTGTTTTGCAACGGACGTTCTGTTTCCAATAGTCACCATAAATTGAGTATCTATATATACCACCTTAAACTCCTGAATGGATGGCAATATCTGAACCAAATAAATACCTTTACAGAGCATTAGAAGGTTCAGACAACCACACTATGCTGTAGAAGAGACAACCATCATTTCCCCAAGACTTCCAGGGTTTGGCTAACTTAGCATTCCAAGACAGATCTCCTCCAAATCCCTTGTCCGGTCATTTGGGTCCTTGATCAGAAGCATTAGAAGCTAGATTCATCATGGGATTTGAAAAGCATTGTTCCTGAGTTGCCATGGAAACAAGCAGGGCTGAAGAAAACTGGCCAATCCTCACCCAGAGTGGACACATTCTGAAAGTTCTCCATCATGACATCATCGTACAGTGCTCGTTGCTCTTCAGTTAGCAAGGCCTGCTCTTCACTGGAGAACGTCACATCAATGTCTTTGAATGGCACTGGTGGCTTTTGGGTTGTGGAGAAAGGGGATGAAAGCGACACATTCAGAAATCAGATGAGGAAAAAAATAAAATAAAACTCCCAACAGATTAATCCCCAAATATATCAGTTGAAAAGCTTTCACGGACACTCAAAGCCCTTCAATGAGCTCTCTCAGCGTAACAATTGTTAGAAGAAAGAGGGGTTCCGTTCTGAGCTGGGATTTTGCAAGAATGATGCTGGACAGGCTGCTTGGAAAGGAGGTGATTTTATTCGAGAGCATAAAAGACAGCACTCAAAGGGAGACTACAGTTTTGGGTACAGTGGTTGGTAATGTTTATAGGAAAGGTGGTCGTTTGTGAGATATGTGTGAATGTGCTCTTTATAATGTTTAATTTGGTGGACATGCAGCTCTGGAGGCGAAACATTTTATTGGACTTTTATTAAGTTTACAGATCTTTTCTTTGATATGTTTCTATGTGCTGACTTTGGGCACCACCTCTGTGTACCCAGGGAAATTGTATTGTGAAAGGACTTTCCCTGTCTGCTATTATTTACGCAGGTTAATTGATTTAGCCCGGTCATTAATTATCGATGGAGGAAATGGTTTAGTGATATTTGCAACTTTGTGTTGACTTTGTTTGCCACATCATTTTCTAGTTTCCGTTACTTGTGGGTTGTGCTAATGATTAAAAAAAAAGAGGCAGCGCAGAAATAAATTTAATTTCTGAATTAAATTTCTTCCAACACTATGGAATTCATATGATGTTCCTATTTTACTTTGACTCTAACTCCAGTACAGTGATGGGATATGCAACTGAAGAAGGGGTGGGGTGGGGTGATGTCAGCAGTAGCACCACAGCTTCCCATTCTCATTCCAGAGAATGGCCTGTTGTGTCCTGAGCCTGCAAAAGCAGGCTCGGGACGTTGCAAGAGTCCCGGGCATTTGCAAAAGCTGCCCGGGACCAGACTGAGTGGCGCCGGCCTTGCGCACATGCGCAAGGCGGGAAAAGACCGCCTTGTGATTGGTTGGATTTGCCCGGGGATCAGAAGGTATAAATAGAGGCCTGCGTGCCTCTGCTCGGGTTG